GCAGACTTGATAAAGTAGTTCTTCACCACGTAGTCTAGGGCTTTGCCGGCATTCACGGGGGAGCCCCCTCTAAGCCTTAAGCGGCGGATGGCTTGCAGGATGGCATTTTTGGACTTGTGGGTCTTCAGGTAGAACTCAGGGAAGACATTATTGCTGAACTGCACCACACCGATTCGCACTTTGTTTGGCCCCACTTCCAGCTGCTGAACAATTCTGCTGATGAAATCCCGAATGTGAGCAAGCCCATCGGACCTAACGCTGTCAGAGCTGTCAATAAGGAAGACTACGTCCTTTTCATCACCAGTAACATCTGCAGAGAAGCAAGAAGAGAGGAAATTATTCGTGTGCTGGTTTTGCTTCTGCTTTGCTGGAGGATTTCTGTGCTACCTGCTACGTAAAACTGCACGGCATATTTCAGCTGACCTTAGGCATGGTGCTTTGGGGACCCTCTCCAAAAGGGCTTGTGTGCAAGCATGCCTAATATTCAAAGTCTGCCTAATGTTCAAAGCATGCATTACTCAGAGTCTTATCTGTTTCATTCATTAACACTCTTATCTGGATTTCTCAATGCTTCCAGCTTCATTTTGCTTCAGATCTATCTGTCTTTGTTAGAGAGCTGCAAATGGGAATAGGCAATTTTACACATTGCAGTATTTGACTTGAATGGATTTCTCAATGCTTCCAGCTTCATTTTGCCTCAGATCTATCTCTCTTTGTTAGAGAGCTGCTAAATGGGAATAGGCAATTGTACACATTGCAGTATTTGACTTGATAATCAAAATAGGTAATGTATTTAGGTACTCAACTGGAAAATCGTAAGTTATAATGTGTTTAGGTACTTGAGCCGAATTTCCACATATCTAAAAGTTTCCTTCTAAAACTATACACGTGCTCCACCTTTGCTTTAAACTGAGGAAAACCTTGGTTCATAGAGAAAGGATGGAAAGCTATTTACACATTTGGGCAACATTTACTCGAGTAGCAACCCAAAGGCAGCCAATGTTGACAAGCCTTACCTGTGGGGGGTTGCACGTCTCCCAGCAGCCTTCTGATTTGGTCCGCGGTCAGGGTTTCAATAGGAGTCAGAAGCTTCTGCTCGAGGCTAGGCAGTTCTTGGAAGCTGGAGACTTGGAATACATAATCAGGACTAAGAGAAATCTGTACCATCTCCTCAGGTTCCACGTTCTTTGCTACCACCATAGGTGCCACCCCCACTTGTTTGACTTGGAGTGATGGGTACTCTAAGTCATCGTCGGACTTGCGGGAGGAGAGGATGACCAAAAACTGAGGGACGCCTTCCTCTATGCGGCTCCCGGAGGGCCGGGTGAAGATGGTCTTCGCCACAAACTCAAGAGCCTCCCCAACGTTCACCTGCTGGCCACCCTGTGGCCGCAGCCGTCTCACAGCGCTCTGCACCTCATCCTTGGTGGAGTGGGCGTTGAGCAGGAACTCCACGCGGGGATGCTCGCTGAACTGGACCACTGAAATCCGGGTGGTGTCAAAGCCCACGTCCAAGTTGTTCACTATCCTCTCAATGAGATCACGGATGAGGTAGAACTCCTGGGCGGCATAGCGGGAGCCATCAACCATGAACACAACGTCCCTTTTCACACCCGCTGCAGGAAAGAAGGCAGTGGTCAGAAGATGCCTCAGGCATTACTTATGGAGAGCAGCTAAGCTCATCATCTACATCACTGGTCCATGCCTTTGGCCATGGGGAGGAAGCTTATTGTTTTGTTCCCTGTGATATCTCCTGGGAACCCCAGCAGACAGCTCTGGGTTCGGCTCAGAGACAGGACCAGTCTGCTAGGCACATCCCCAGGCAGTGCAAGAACAGCAACTTCCAGAGCAAAGGAAGCAAGAGGGAGCAGGGGAAACTTGGAACAATAATTCCTCGTGGCATCTTCACCAAAGGAAAGGTAGCCTCGTGATTCTCCTTACTCAGGGCAGATTGCCAGGCAGCCTGGGGTTGTTTTACACTCAGTACCACCCATCTTTCCTTGGCTTTGTCCTCTAGGACAGCTTCTATCCTATTATTCTCTCAGCTTCTGGCTTTCCAGGATGATTTTATTCTTCCTAATAAAGTGTTTTCTGCAGTGGTAATTCGGGTCAGAGCCTGAATTATCACTGAGTATCACACTGATAAATAGGGATGGAGGAAAGCAGTCTGGCTCTGAAGGGAAGGAACAGATAGAGTAGGATGGTGGACTTCAAAGGAACTCATTTGGGGTGGGTACCCTTCGTCCCAGGCATACGCTGGGTGTATTTCATTCCAAGTGAGATCAGAAATGGAAGATCTGATCCTTTTCCTGATGCCCGCTTCCAGTTTCCCTTCCCCCAGTGAATGAGCATGGCAAACATAAGACACATCAGTAGGTCTTACATTTAGCAGAAAGCTGACTTTAAATCAAAATGGTATGAAGGTGTCCCTGTGTCATCTAAATGACATGATTTCCATTCCAGGAGGAATAGCATGGACTTAAGATCCATCAAGTTAAAATAAAATTAAGGTCGTAGCATTCACTTTGTGGATCTTCCATGTAGGTACACCATGGACCACCTCGAGGGACTGGGCTTAAAGGTGACTCAGCTGAATCACAGAGCTCCTGCCAACCCTAAGCACGTCAAAAAAATACATCGACAGTGAGACCAAGACGGACTTGGAGTCTTAGCCGTGACCATCTTTGCTTTTCTCAGTTTGTGTTGCAACCATGATGTTACTAAACATCATATTTTGCCGCTGGCTCTTGGTGCAGACACAAACATCTTCTCACCTGGGCTGGGTGATGTAAAAACCAGATCAGGGGCAAGTGACTCTATCTCTTTCTTGGTCAGCCGGATGACTCTGTTCGAGACGACCTGCTGCACTGTATCCAGCTGGCTGAAGTCAGGCACAGAGATAGCGAAATCCGGGAGGAAGGAGATCGTCTGCAGCTCTGTGATGTCAGCATTTCCAATCCCTATGCCAAAGGGCACTGTTCCACTCGTCTTCAGGACCACCGAGGGCCTCCTCACGTCATCCTGGGACCGATCAGCAGTCAGCAGAATCAGGAACTGCGGGACGCCCTCTGCTATCCTGCTACCGCTTGACACCGTGAAGACGTTCTTGATGAGATAGTCGAGGGCTGCTCCGGTGTTCAGAGGAGATCCTCCCATAACTTTCAGCTCCTGGATGGCACTGATGAGATCTGCTTTGTCTTCGTGGGTGTCGAGTAAGAACTCGGGTTGTATAACATTGCTGTACTGCGCGACGGCAACACGGACCTTGTCACGACCAATATCCAGGCTTTCAACAACTCTTTGAACAAAGGTCTTCAGTAGAGGGAAACCTCTTCTAACACCATCTGAGCCATCGATTAGAAACACCACATCCTTCTTCTCACCTCTCTCAACTACTGTTTGAGACAAGTAAAGGAAGGGGGAAGAGTGAGATTTTCTTTTGTAACGATTATTATTCTCCGCATACATTGAACCGAAGGAGTACAAAAGCTCGGGGAGGGGCAAACGAGATGTCAGGACGGGTGGTTCAGTTCCTTTGCCATTGGATGCAATCCCTTGGCGAAGAGGCAGATGGGTGGAAGTCGGTGGAAAAAGCAATGCAACGCGTGCCATGTCTTACCCACCAAGTCATAGAATCATAGACCCATAGGAAATAGGGTGCCAAGGGACTCCGGGTGCCATCTCCTACCTGAGGCTGGGAGAAGCTGTCTGTTCCCAAGGGGACTGGGAAGCTGGCACATGGCTTTGCAATATGCAAAAGGAGTCTGGGGCATCAGGGGTCTTGTGCTCCCAGAGACAACTGAGTTTCTGAACGAAACAGCATACTGCAGAGAGGGTGCTTACAGGGAGATGGTGAAGAGAGGGAGAGAAAAGCTTTTCTGAGGCATCTCTGAACTTAGAATAAATGCTGCTGCACATGTTCAGACAAAATGCAACCAGGGATCAAGTTAGGAAAGCTAAAGCCCTGATAGAATTAAATGTGGCCAGGGACACCAAGGGCAACAAGAAAAGCTTCTATAGGTATGTCAGGGATAAAAGGAGGGCTAGAGAAATGTGGACCTTCTCCAGAACAAAATGGGAGACCTGGCTACCCAGGACATGGAGGAGGCTGAGGTACTCAATGACTTCTTTGCCTCAGTCTTCACTGGCAAGAGCTCTGGGTGCGCTGCCCATGACACAGAAGGCAAAGGCAGGGACTGGGAGAATGAAGAACCGCCCACTGTAGGAGAAGATGAGGTTCAAGACTGTCTCAGGAACCTGAAGGTGCATCAGTCAATGGGACCTGATGAGGTGCATCCATGGGTCCTGAGGGAAATGGCAGATGAAGTTGCTAAACCATTATCCATCATACTTCAGAAGTCATTGCAGTCCAGTGTAATTCCCACTGACTGGAAAATGAGAAACATAACTCCCATGTTAAAATGGGAAAAAGGAAGACCTGGGGAATTACAGGCCAGTCAGTCTCACCTCTGTGCCCAGCAAGATCATGGAGCAGATCCTCCTGGAAACTATGCTAAGGCACATGCAAAAAATAGGAGGTGGTTGGTGACAGCCAACATGGCTTCACTAAGGGCAAATCGTGCCTGACTGAGTTGGCGGCCTTCTACAATAGGGTTACAGCACTGGTGGATAAGAGAAGAGCAACAAATGTCATCTACCTAGATTTGTCCAAAGCAATTGACACTGTCTCACATGACATCCTTGTCTCTAAATTGGAGGCATGGATTTGACAGATGGACCACGTGATGGATAAGGAATTGGCTGGATGGTGCACTCAAAGAGTTGTGGACAACAACTTGATGCCTAAGTAGAGGTCAGTGATGAGTGGTGTTCCTCAGGGGTCAGTACTGGGATCAGCACTGTTTAACATCTTTGTCGGTGACATGGACAGTGGGATCGAGTGCACCCTCAGCAAGTTTGTAGATGACACCAAGCTGTGTGGAGTTGTGGACACGCTGGAGGGAAGGGATGTCATCCAGAGGGACCTGGACAGGCTTGAGGGGTGGGCCTGTGTGAACCTCATGAAGTTCAACAAGGCCAAGTGCAAGGTCCTGCACGTGGGTCAGGGCAATCCCAAGCACAAGTAGAGGGTAAGTGGAGAATGGATTGGCAATCCCAAGCACAAGTACAGGCTAAGTGGAGAATGGATAGAGAGCAGACCTGAAGAGAAGGACTTGGGGGTGCTGATGAATGAGAAGCTCAACATGAGCCGGCAATGTGCACTCGCAGCCCAGAAAGCCAACTGTGTTCTGGCGTGCATCCAAAGAAGTGTGGCCAGCAGGGCGAGGGAGGGGATTCTGCCCCTCTACTCTGCTCTCGTGAGACCCCACCTGCAGTGCTGCGTTCAGCTCTGGGGTCCCCAGCACAAGAAGGACATGGAGCTGCTGGAGCGAGTCCAGAGGAGGCCGTGAAGATGATCCGAGGGCTGGAGCACCTCTGCTATGAAGACAGGCTGATAGAGTTGGGGCTGTTCAGCCTGGAGAAGAGAAGGCTCTGGGGTGATCTTATAGCAGCCTTCCAGTACCTGAAGGGGGTCTACAAGAAAGCTGGAGAGGGACTTTTTAGAAGGGTGTGTAGTGATAGGACAAGGGGCAATGGCTTTAAACTGAAAGACGGGAGATTTAGATTAGATTTAAGGAAGAAATTTTTTTACAGTGAGGGTGATGAGACACTGGAACAGGTTGCCCAGGGAAGTTGTGGATGCCCCATCCCTGGAAGTGTTCAAGGCCAGGTTGGATGAGGCTTTGAGCAACCTGGTGTAGTGGAGGGTGTCCCTGCCCATGGCAGGGGGGTTGGAATTAGATGATCTTTGAGGTCCCTTCCAACCCGAACCTTTCTATGATTCTATTCTATGTTGAGGTAGAAGCTGCACAAATATGGGGAGGGCAATGACTCTGCATGGCAAGGATGAGGTAAGAGATGACCAGGGGACACCATCATTACACTCTGGTCATTTGGAGCAGGCTGACGTTTGAGACAGAGGGGTGAAAAGGTAGAAAACCTGCAAGACCTACAAGGAAAGATTGAATAAACTGGTTATACAGCTGGTGATATGAGGACCAAGGCAAGACGTACATGGCAAGCTTAAAGTAAATGAAAGGCTGTCACACAAAACATGGGAATGAGTCAACATCTGTATCCCTAAGTTGAAAGAGATCTAAAAGGCTTAAACTATGACTAGAAAGACAGAGGTTTGTCATTGAGGACTAATTACCTACAGATAAGGGTAAAAGCAATTGAATAGATGGATTATGGAGGCTGGCAAAATCTCCTCTACTGGAGCGTTTTCAGAACAGACTGGACCAATGTCAGCTGGTTCTGGACAAGAAGATCCTGTTGAGGACAAGGGTATGTAGCAGATGGCACTCTGAGATCCCTTCCAGCCCTGTTTCTTTTTTATGTTTCTATGATTCTAAGTCCATCTGCCCAGGACTTTTACAGAGAGATGACGAGGACATTCTTACACTTTTCCCTGCCCCTACCTGCTGTTGGGAGACAGGTTAATTCTCAAATTAACGCTGCTGAAATCACACAGCTGGACATGTATGATTTCCAGTACCACAGTGGTGATTTATAATTGTGGCCATGCGATTCTTTTCATAACATTTTTTTTATTCTTTAATTAATCCATACTCAGCTACTGAGCTTATAATGGTAAGTAATTCAAGAGCATCTATTTTATTGGTGCAGAGGTACAAAATGTAGAAACTGCTGTCATATTCCACAAGAAGTAGCGGAGCAAGAGTGAATCCAGCACGCCGCAGTGCTCCTTACTCCCTGCCACTCCTCCAGAAAAGGGAGGATGGAAAGATAAATCGAGACAAGCCTTCATTTGCTTCTTCTAGCCTTTTCCCAACATTGTACATCAATTTATGCAAGAACTCTGCACCAACGATCCTCTTATTTCAGGTTTATACTATGTTTTACACACTGGTAATGGCACCTACTGCAGCTCTTGCAGCCAAATGAAAAGCTTTTTCCTTATTCATCTTTAAAATTCAGTTTGGACCTTAGTGCTTTGCTGGATCAGCGTCTGAGCAGAGGAAAATCCAAGTACAATAGCAGCTTCTACATAATTGTTTTAAACATCAACAGACCAAACTGCCCCAGTTACCAATTGAGGGGGGCATGTGAGTGGTGTCTTTCGGCCCCTTGGAAGCCCCAGGGGTCCATGTACCTGTTGGCTGAAGCTCGATAGTTTTCAACAGGTTGACTATGTTTGGCTGAAGCTCTGAAATACGAGTGAGGGAGTCGACGGTCAGAATGAATTGTGGGGCATAAACGATCCTTTCCAGCTCTACAGAGTCGGCACTTTTGGCTTTGATAGCAAAGGTCACAACTCCAGCTTGCTTCAGAGCATCTGACGGTTGCTCCACGTCATCGGATGATCTCCCAGCAGCAAGGAGGACCAAAAACTGAGGAACTCCTTCTTCGATCCTGCTTCCAGCTTCCTTCACAAACAGCCTCCTTATCGCTTCATCTAGCGCAGCTCCAATATTCAGTTGCTTCCCAGTTTTTATCCTCATCCTTTTCACTTTGAGAAGCATGTCTTGCTTAGATGGGAGTTCGGCAAAGTCAAATTCAACTTGGATTGTGTCACTGAATTGAGCTACAGCTACTCGTGTGGCATCAGGACCCACGTTCAGGTCAGAAATGACTTTGTGTACAAAGTCCCGGACGGCAGGAAAGCTACCCAAGAGGTTGGCTGAGCCATCAATCAGGAATAAAATATCTTTCTTGCTTTCTAGAATAAATTCACAAATGAAAAGAGGGGAAAAAAAAGATATGAAGGCATTTTTCTTCTTAAACGTCATCCTAGAAACTTCTCTGCAAGTTATCTGGGCTTCAATATGCAAAGCAAGTGATTTTCATTTACCAAAGTATTCAAAGGCTACAGGGCTAAACAGTATCTTTGACATATTTATCTGAGGAGGAAAGGGAAGCAAGGACACCTCTATCCTAAGACTCAATAAATTCAGGCACCAGACAATCATATCATGTATTGCATCACATCATATCAGTCATATCATAAATTGGCTGTTTCAGATTCGGCCAGCAAAGTTTATGCTCTAGCAATAGGCTGATAATACAGACATGAAGTACAACAGCAGTGGAGGGTTGAGGTTTTTTTTTTCCTATTTAAAGGCTCAATAGTTAACAAACAGACATTAGTTCATACATACACGCGCACACAAAGCGGTTTCTCTATTCTCTTGAAGTACTTCTCCCAGTTGCATCACAAGGAGGCATCTAAATCCATAGGTAAGTTATGACTTTGGAAGGAGAAAAATCCTGTTACTTGTTTCTGTTTGCTGCCCTTTCATTCTTATTGAATATCCAAGGCAAAACCAAGCACCTCATATCTGTGTGTCTTCACATCTTTCATATTCATCTTAACAGTCTCCTTCCCATACTAAGCGATCCTGGTTGGTTTTATGTCTTCATATACACGTACACATAGCCACAATGAGGGAATTAGCAAGCAAATACCTGTTTTAAAAGGGTTAAACTTGCCAACAGCTTTTGGGTTTAATGTTGGAGGATAACTTGGCACATCTGGAGTCGAATTCAGCCTCTCTGTCAGCCTGATAAAAACACTTTGGCAGAATGGTTTTGGGGAAGGATTTGGCCACCTGTACCTGGCTAGACCTCTGCTCCCCTGTGCTCTTTGGCACGACGTTAACCATTCCACCCCACTCCTCATGGCCAGAACTGCGTGCTGCCATACCTGAGCTAGTGCAGGTGATGCATTTAAAGGTTGTGACATTATTACAGCAACCAAAAGGCAACACCTGAGTGAGTGACCGGTGGGCATAGACTCACTCAGATTCTCCTTCCGTCCTGACCTGCCGAAAGACTTAAAATTGTGCCATCCTTAAAGCGTGCTAGCAGTGACTTGAACAAAACGAAGGGCTGACTGTGTCAAGCCATGTATTGATGGTTAAGCACAGCGTTAACGCTTTGGTGACTCAGGGCCTTGGACAGATTTGAAGGTGTACATTGGGAACAAACAGTCAAGAGACACAAAATCAACTTAATGCAGTCAACATGAAGGAAGGTAGGTATTACCTGTTGGGGCGAGTGGAACCTCTTCCACACCTCCACTAACATATGTTGTTATAGGCTTATTTAACTCCTGGGGTAAAGCTGCCAGAGCACTGAAATCATCCATAAAATATACCATTCTTGGATTAAAGGCAATCTGTTCAAGTTCTGCCTTATCCGCACTCCTAACTCCAACAGCAAAAGTCAGCACTCCGGCCCGAGCTAATTCATTGGAAACTTGCAAGAAGGGATCGGCAGACCTCCCTGCCGTCACCAGGACTAGGACCTGCGGCACTTGTTCATTTATTCTGCTCCCACCAGCTTCCGTGAAGTGATTCGAAAGCACAAAGTTCAGTGCAGAGCCGGTGTTCAACACTGACCCTCCCTTGGGCCTCAGCTGCCCCATACGTTGAATTATGTCTGATTTGGTTTGGTACGAGTACAGAAAGAACTCGGTTTTAGGAGTGTCGCTAAATTGCACTAAGCCAACTCGGATTTTGTCACTGCCGACATCAAGGTAGTTAACTAGGGTGGCAACAAAGTCACGCACAAAGGGGAAGTTGGCATTTCCGACGTTGAGTGATCCATCCAAAAGAAAGATGATATCCCTTTTGGTTACTTGAACTGCAGTAGAGCACAGAAAATAACATGAGACATCACAGAAAACAAAAATAGAAATTTTTTTTCATGCGTGCATACAGCATACACTGTACACGCATGTAAACCTTGTTAGGAGGAAGTGTGGAGAAAAAGAGGAGAGAAAGAGAGTGATCAGCACAGCAGTGACAAGGACCTTGCTCTAAATGAGTAAATTGGACAGGGGAGGCAGGGAAGGATTCTGACTTGTTGAAAAGTCTTTTAAATGTCAGGTTTATCAATGGGGCTCAGCCTCCATCACGGCAGATGTTTTCAGCAGCTGGTAATGTCAGAGTTGTATGCTCTGGGCTGGATCCTTTGCCTGGAAAAGGCAACTTCGTTGATTTTGGTGGAGCAACACTGAATTACGCCTACAGATGCCTTGCTTATTTGCAAGTCACCATGCATTTATTTGGAGCTTTCCAACGAAGCTTTAGGGAACGTTTCTGCTTTCTGGCACCTGAAGTGTGCTTTTGACACCCAGCGCTATCACCCCCTTATTAAGCAATCCCCTGTTGCACAAGGGTGCTCCCATGCATCCCTAGATGTGGAGAACCATGTCCTGTCCTGCAGTGACTGCCATGGTCATGCTGTGCAGCCAGCAGCAGCTGGCCCGCAGCACAGAGTTAAGTTCCACTTGCACGGGAAAACACTTCTGCCAAGTAACCAATTTGGTTGGTATTTTGAGTGGGTATTAAAAATAGCTTTTACTAATAGGTTTAGAAAAGCTGGTCCAGACAAGGCTGCAATGGCTGCCTGAGACACCTGCCTTTTTGATGTCTACATTTGATGCAGAAAACTGCGTTTTGATGTCTGCAGTTACAGACATCCATCTTGTGGGCTATTGAAGGGGGAGAAATTTCCTACTTTTGGCAGCAAACAGCCAGCTCTCAGCTCATTTTTTAAGGTTAAGTCCTTCCCGGGCTGTCTCCCAGCATCTCAGCCCCAAGACACAGATCTGCAATGTTACCCCAAAGGCACCACAGGATCATCCCCCTGTGCTTTTTGCTCTAAATACGTCATGTCCACACGGCAGACCAAATGCCAAAACTTTAAATAAGATCTCAGAGAACTGATGAGTGGGCTCATCTAA